CTCCCGGGTGCGGGTGGAAATCAAATCCTATTAAGCTCATCTCTATAATAAAATAATACTAGTTGTTTTGCCACATAGAAACCGAGGATTACTTGCCAGCTGATTTTGAGCAGGGAAAGTTGCATCCTTTTCAAACCATAACTACGCTTTCTTTTGCAAAACTCGAGGAGTTAGTATATGCGCTATAACTATTTAAATGGCCTCAATGCATCTTTGACTTCCAGTTTAGTACTCCTACCTTAAGTCCAGTTTACTTGTTTCTAGATTTTCTATTGTAGATCCAAAGCAATGTTAAGATCTTTTGGACACCCCACAAACATATTTTATCAATAGCAGTCAAAGTAGTACATGTATGAAAGAGGATTTTTCGGTCAGCAAAGCAAGCAACTTCCTAGTTAAGGAAAGAGGATTTGCTTGTAGTCAGGTTCAGCCTGATGATTCAAAACACTGAAATATATGTCTATGAATGAAATTTGTATAGTTGTTGCATCTTCTCTATCATGCTTCAAGGACAGGCTAATCGAAGATCTGAAATTACAACTCCAGAAGCAAAGAAAGCTGGGCTAGGACAATGATAGCACTGAACCACAAGCCCAAGCCTGTACTTAACTAGGCCCAGGTCCGTTAAATCCTCAAAGACCAAGAAATGGAACCAGCTGCTAGTGTAGAATCCACAATCCAGTGTCACTGATTGAGTCATGGGAGATGTCAAGTCTCATAAATATCAACTAGTACCATCGAGTTCGATTTTAATAAAAGGAAAATAGTAAAATAAACAGTTAAGTCCCACAGGTGAGCAAGATTTTTGGTCTTCTAGTTACAGAACAAAGCTTGACATAATTCCAGATGCCGAAAATCATGTCCAGCATATCAAAATTTGAAACCACACACTTATTTTCAAAGATCATTTTGAGACATAGCAGAACAGGGTACATCTGAAGATGCAGCAGACTATGAAGAAAAGAAGAATGTAATACAAGAAGATGATTGTCGCTAGGTAAGAGAAACCATCTGCGGCCACCACTGTAAGTAATAGACTGGGAGCTCTAAAATCAGAAATATTACCCCCAAACCTGCTAGTGCCACTTTGAAGTAATACACATCTTTAGCTCAATTCTGAAAATACATGGCTAGGACAACGGTAGCATGCAACCACAAGCCCAAGCCTATACTTAACTAGGCCCAGGTCCATTAAATTCTTAAAAGGACCAAGGAATGGAATCAACTGCCCCTTGTAGAATTCAGTGTTGCTGATTCAGTCATGGGAGATGCACGTCTCATAAATATCAAGTAGCACCATGATGTTCGATTTCAATATAAGGAATATTGCAAAATGAACAGTTACAATCCCAGGTGAGTAACACACCTTGGTCTTCTAGTTACAAAACAAAACTGACATAATTCTAGATGCCGTCAATCATGTCCGGCAGATCAAAATTTCAAACCACACACTTACTTTCAAAGATCAAACTAGGAACATTTTTGAGACATAGGAAAACAGTGTAGAGCTGAAAATGCAGCAAGCTATGAAGAAAAAAAATACAAGATTCAGTTAAGACAAGAGAAACATCTGCAACTACTACTGTAAATAGTACACCTGTTTACTACGTTTCTGAAAATACATCCAGCGATGATGCTCTAAAAAATTAAAATACTACCCACACCGGACCCCGCCTGCTAGTACCACTTTCAAATAATACACCTGTTAGTTCACTTCTGAAAATACATGCAGCAAAGATGCACATCTTCTACTGACGAGATGCTTTGAACAAACCTCCAGGACTCCCAACTGAACTAAGAAATGGCTTACAGTTTTCCTAGTCTAGCAGGGAACCAATTTACTTTTCTTCCATGTTTATACTAATGCGACAAGATGTGACTGCAATTCAATCTCCCTAGAGGCATATAAGTCCTCTGGGGGCCAATAAAAGTATCCAGTCCAACTGAAATGTTTCATGCAATGTGCCACTTGCGTGTTTATAATAACCCACAAAGAGAGAAAAATCAGCGATCAAACTCCAGATTGGCCAATGCAGTCTTCAACGCAACAGTTCAGCCCTTTGACAAGGGCAAACTGTAGATAATATTTACAGAGCATGTGATCTTATTCAAAAATTGAAATGTCAAAATCTACTAGACATGGTCAAATTACACATTTCAAGGGGCAACTTATTCTTTTTGCTGATGTGTGCTCATCAAGTCCTAACTAAAAATCCCAAACTGCCACAAGTGGGGACGTACTCTTAACTAGACAGTGTACTGAATCAAGAGATAAAATTTCGAGGATCAAGGTGACGCGTATATGTTAAACCTTCGCAATAACATCAAAGCATATGCAACACAATGATAATGCATACATAAAACATGCAACTAGGTCAGGATCATGTGAAATACAAAAAATTGCAACTTATTATGCTGCTCTAGGAACCGGTCAATAGTTTCCGTGTTGAACTTTATTAATGTGTGTTATAGACTTAAATTTGTTTCCCCTCTATACGACAAAAGTATCCTACAAAACAAGAGCACCAGGTAATGTATAATAAGTCAGAAATCAGAGCTACAATTAGCACCATATGAATCAACACAATCTGAATCACAGTCAGCTTCTTTTACCAGACAGAAAGTAAACATCTAGATACAACAATAGCTACAGAGGTACAATGACTTAACGGCTAATCTCAAGAATGTATTTAGGTACAATCAAGCTGCTGCATTGTTTGACACAAGAACACACACAGGATCGTTGATAAAAAATTACGGTAAGGAAAAATGTAACTAGCTTCAAATGAAAAACAAAAGGCCGATGCATCTTTGACTTCCTGTTTAGCAGTAACCTAAATCAACTTCACTTGTTTCTATATCTTCTATTGTAGATCCAAAGCAATGTTAAGATCTTTTAGACACCCCACAAACATATTTTATCAAAGTCAAAGCTGTACATGTATCTTTTAGTCATACCAAGATATATGTATTTTTCAGTCATACCCAGCAAAGCAAGTAACTTCCTGGTTACAGAAAGAGGACTTCCATGCTTGTAGACAGGTTCAGCCTGAATAGATGCAAAAGAGTGGAATATATGTCAATGAATGAAATTCTTATGATTGTTGCATGTAAGGAAGTGCTGCTATAGAGTGCATCTTCTCTATCATGCTTCAGGGACAGACTAATGAAAGATCTGAAACTAGAATTCCAGAAGCAAAGCATGGGCTAGGACAATGACAGCATTCAACCACAAGCCCAAGCCTATATACTTAACTAGGCCAAGGTCCATTAAATCCTAAAAGGACCAAGAAATGGAATCAGCTGCCCTTGTAGAATCCAGTGTCACTGATTGAATCATGATAGATGCCAAGTCTCATAGATACCAAGTTTGATTTCAATAAAAGGAGAGGGGTATATACAGAGCAAAATGAAATTTATGATGCCAGATGTGTGAGACATTTTGGTCTTCTACTTACAGAACAAAGCTGGCATCATTCTAGATGCCGTAAATCATGTCCACCAGATCAAAATTTCAAAGTATGTGCTCATTTTCTAAGATCAAATTAGGAACATTTTTAGACATAGCAAAACAGTGTATATCTGAAGATGCAGCGAACTATGAAGAAAAACCGAAGACAATGTAATACAAGAAGATGATTGAGTTAAGACAAGAGAAACTATCTGGAGTACCACTATAAATAATACAACTGTTTAATACGATTCTGAAAACATCCAGCAAAGATGCTCTAAAATAAAAATACTACCCCAACTATGAAAAATCAATGCTGCAATGAGATGTGACAAAATATCAAAGTCCAGATTGGCCATAGCCCAGCGCACCTTTCAACACAGCAGTTCGGTACTTTGCCAAGCGCAAACTGTAGATAAAATTCATAGACATATATAACCTTATTCAAGAATTGAAATGCCAAAATCAACTAAACATAATCAAATTAGACATTCCAAGGGGCAAGTTATTGCGTTTGCTGATATGTGCTCAACAGTCCTAACTGAAAATCCCAAACCAGACAAACTGCAAAAGTGGGGATGTACTATAATTAGACAGTGTACTGATTCTAGGGACAAAATTTCAAGGATCAAAGTCCAGATTGGCCATAGCCCAGTGCACCTTTCAACACAACCGTTCAGTACTTTGACAAGGGCAAACTGTAGATAAAATTCATAGACATATAACCTTATTCAATAATTGAAATACCAAAATCAACTAGACATAGTCAAATTAGACATTTCAAGGGGCAACTTACTGTCTTTGCTGATGTGTGCTCAATAATCCTAACTGAAAATCCCAAACCAGACAAACTACCAAAAGTGGCAGTTTACTCTAACTAGACAGGTGTACTGACTCTAGGGACAAAATTTCAAGGACCAAGGTGATGCTTATATGTTAAACCTTCACAGTACTATCAAAGCATACGCAACACAATTATAATGCACATGAAACATGCAAGTAGGTCAGAATCATGTGAAATACAAACAATATTTGCGACGTACTGTGCTGCTCTAGGTACCAGCCAGTAATTTCTGTGTTCACCTACTCAAGTGCATTGTAGACTTCAATTTGTTTCCCCGTTATACAACAAAAGGATCCTACAGAACAAAAGCAACAGGACATGCATACGAGTAATGCAGAATAAGTCAGAACTCAGAGCAACAATTAGCATCATATGAATCAACAAACTGAATCACACTCAACTTCTTTTACCAGACAGAAAGTAAACATCTAGATACAACAATAGCTACAGAGGTACAATGAAGAACAGCTGATCTCAAGAATGTATTTAAGTACAATCAAGCTGCTGCATTGCTTGACACACGCACAGGGTGGTTGATACCAAATTACAGTAATGCAAAATGTTAACTAACTTCAAATGAAAAACAAAAGGGTATGGACTAGATACCAGTCTATCGCATTTGTCTTGTGAAAAGCACTTGTCCTGTAGAAGCACATATAACACCTGTGTAGCACTGGCAGGGAATAGGCCGCCAAATTATAGTACTCATAGCTCAAATTCATCATCCAACTTGAGTGCTTCAGCTGCAGCCTCTTCCTCATCATCATCAATCGCAAAGTATGGGTTGTGCACCTCAGGCCGGAACCTGTACCCAGTGAACACATAGAATGCAAGGGTGGCAATCTCTCCAGCCACGACGCTAGTCCAGAGGTACCGGTACGAGGTGATGGTCACCAACGCATACACCACAACACGCGTGAAGTAAATGTAGCAGATGACAACCACGTAGTACTGGCGGAAAAGGGTGAGCTTCATCAGGTTCACCGCCGCTTTCCCGTCGGAGCGGGCAGCCTCCCGGAGGTTCTTGATTGACCAGACAATCGGGAAGAGAATGGCGCAGCAGCAGACCACATCCACCAGCAGGAATATCTGCCTCCAGGTGACCCAGTCTCGGGCATACGGCCCAGATTCATCGATGACCACCTGCGCAATGTTGGCGACGACCTGCAGGGGGATGACGACCATGAGCACCTTCTTCTCGCGGTCCGCCAGGTAGGGCTTGAGGAAGGACCAGCCGGTGCCGATGAGCACAATGAGCGTGAAGAGCGAGATCCCCTTGAGGAAGCTGAAGATGTAGAAGAGCACATCCCAGCCGTGGGCGGTGCCGGTGCGCTCGATGTAGGACTTGTCCTCGGCCTCGGCGAGGAGGTTGAAGCCCTTGAGCACGAGCACGGCGAGCATGAAGTAGTGGATCCGGAAGACGGCGGTGCGCTTGCGCAGCAGGATGGAGACCCATCCCGCAGCGAGCGCGGCGTAGACGACGCAGAAGAGGAAGTAGATGGAGGGCAGCGCGGAGGAGCCGACGGAGAGGTAGGCCCGCTGGCCGGTGGCCGGGTCGACGTTGTACATGGCGGAGCTGACGTCCATGGAGACCTTAAGGTCCCCGCCGGCGCCGGCGAGGCAGTTGGCGAAGACGAGCGTGTACTGGCCGGGCTCGGTGACGCGGAAGGCGAGGGTGAAGGAGGAGGAGCGGGCGACCGCGACGCCGGCGGGGTTGGCGGGGGGCCGGAGGCGGTCGAAGGAGTAGGCGAGCCTGACGAGGTCGGACTGGAGCGCGCAGGTGACCTCGAGGTCCTGGAGCTGGCGGAGGACGTGCACCCAGGCGTCGAGCGTGGAGAGGAAGAAGCCGAACTGGGAGAGGTCGAGGTCCGGGGAGGCCGGCGGGTCGAAGGCGATGCCGGTGACGTTGAGCTCCAGCACGCCCTGGTTGGAGAAGCCGAACTCGTCGAGCGGGATGATGGTGCGCGGGTCGGCCCGGATCGCCGTGGAGCGGATCTCGGCCGCCGCCGGGGCCGCGAGCGCCAGCAGGACGGCCAGGAGCGCCGCGGCGAGCGGCGGGGCGGCGGCGGCCATCGGCGGCGGTTGGTGCGATCTGGGGGTGAGGGGAGGGGGGAGGGGGCGGAGACGGTGAGATTTGGGATTTGGTGGGCACGCGGTCGCGTGATTTGTCGGTAAAGGGGACGGGCTCAGGGCTCAGGGCTCCGTCGGTCCGGCCGGCCCGACGACGACGAGGAGACTCGGGTGAGAAATTTTCCTCTTTTATAATTCGGCTCACATTTAAGGCTCATTCGGCTCACAGGATTTCCAAATTGCAAAAATGTATCTTCTCTTTCTCTATCTCTATCTCTATCTCTAAGTACTCCCTCCGTTCCGAATTACTTGTCTTAGATTTGTCTAGATACGGATGTATCTAGCACTAAAATAAGTCTAGATGCTAGATACATCCGTATCTAGACAAATCCAAGACAAGTAATTCGGAACGGAGGGAGTACTATTAAAGGAAATTTGATATGATTATCCTCACCTCCTTCCCCCTTCATTGGATATTTTCATCTTCACGCGTCCCCCTCCTTGGTTTGAAATAATTTAAATCAAATCGATATTTCCCTCGCCTACTAGAAACAATGCAATGCATTAACTCGGTGAAATCAAATCTTACCAAAACCTCAACTAAATCAAAATACTTATCGTCTTCCCCTACACATGCTCAAATCAAACCAAGATCTAGAATATGGTGGGTGTAAGCTTATGTCGGACACGATTGATGTTGAACCATATTGCGGCACACGGATAATTAGCTACTCCCTCCGACTAAAGCTACGACAATTAATATGAGTGAGGGGAGTAGTAGAATTGAAATGTCATGTCCACTTCAATCCTTATAAATTTTTCACAATACCTTACCTAATGCTAAGAATCGTTAGAAATGAGGACAACCCTGTAAAATTCTAGTACCTTCATTCTCGTGAAACGAATGTTATCCATCAAAAAAATCAAAGTATAAAAGAAAACTACAAACATAATGAGCCTTGAGCAATGTTCAGATCAATTATTGCCTACACACGAGATTTTCTTATGTCTAAATAGATGGAGTACCGTTAAAACCATATAATCTAATTTTATCTCCCAGTGCTAATCTCAAAATATCAATCAACTTAATGCGTAAATTTAAAGAAAAAAATCTTGGTTACTTACAATATTGAATCTGATGATGATTTAAAGAAGAACAATCACAAGTTATAGTCTCAGGAGATTGGCCATATGTCTTCTTCCCCTTTGCCCTTTCCTCCTCCTCTCTCATGGCCTTCAGCGGTGTCAAGTCAGGTTGCCGCCTTTCCTCGGTTTGTCATTTTTCTAATACCATATATATACAATGCATAGTGCTTAAATGGGTTTTTCAAAAAGTAAATCGGTTTTTACTTAAGCACTGATGCTCATTTTTTTAAGTTTTGCTTAATTAGGCACCCGCTGTAGAAATAAGCATTGGTTTTTAAGAAAAAAATAGTCAATTTCTTAAGCAACTCTCTTAGCATGTTGCATTATACAGATCTAATCCCCGATAAGTGCTAACTACCTGGCTTCAACTCTTCTTTTATAATCATCTCCTCATGTATTCAACTATAAGGGTAGTAGCATCCTTTACAATCATGAAAATCACCGCATCCTGGGGTGAATCCAACCAACACTAGGAGGAGAGAATCTAGCTATCCTAGCTAGTTCATGAACAACTTGATTATTTTCTCCATTACAATGATCATATAAAACATGATTGAAATCTAAAGCCATGAAATAACAATCGTCAAATATGTCACTTGTGATGGAGGGCAAGATACGATATTTCAAGGATGAAAACCACCTCTTTACTATCCGTGTTAATCTCAATTTTAGTGCATCCAACGGATCGAGCTAGGTTCATACATGGCGTCAACTCTTCATATAAATGGTGCCGATTATTCCTTTTTAAGTAGCATTTCTTCCATTTTTGGATGACCAATCCAATTTATTCACTTTGTATATCATATACAAACTAAAAACAATGTTGTACAGTGTGCCAACTTTATGAATTGTCATTTTGAACTATTGTATCGTTATAAAATCTTAGGAAGCTAAGATTAATAAATGGAGGGGGAAATTATTTTCATTCGTCAGTTGTACCGAAAGCCTGAAAATTGTCCCTCACTAAATAAAATATAAAATATAGTCCCTTGACTTGTGAAAAAACAGATACTTTTGGCCTGTAGTGCAAGTTTTTGGGAGGTTTCATGAAGACGTGACCTTGTTTTGACTTTACAGAAAAGTTCATGTAGTCCCCATGTGTGGTTTCTTTAATTAGTGACAATCCTTATAGACTAATGTTGCATTGAGAGATACATTTGAAGGAAAGTTCCATTGGCAATGCATGATGAATATTGGATGAATTGAAGGATGAAATCCATCAACACAAACATATGCATCAAGAGTTAATAATGAGTGACAATTCGTATGGAGAAACAATGGCATAAAGTTATTTATGAAGGTTGTTCCATGGGTAATGCAATAAGAAGATTGAATGGATTCAGAATGAATGTCATCTACATATAGTTGTGCATCAAGAATGAGTTCAATGATTGAATCAAATATGATCGATATGAATTCCATGTGATGAACGAGATGTGATCAAAATGGAATTCATTGGAGGATCTCAAAAGTTGTCATGCTTCAACTTATGAGTTGGGCTATAATGGATCAAGATCTTGAGAGGAGATTAAAGATAAAAGTGATGTATGTGGCTTGAAGACGAGTTCATGATGAGTTGATTGATCCATGGTTCGTCAAGTCGCGAAGCAATTAATTCAAGTGAAGAATTCATCATGCCTCTCAAGAGATTGTGATGGAGCATGGATAATAGCAAGTGATGACCAATATCATACTCATGTAGAGAACCCCAATATGGTCATGACAAATTGAGGTATTAATGATAAAGTTTTGAAGCAATGAAGTAATGGGAATCATTCACTGTGGCTTTCAAGACATCAATATAGATCATGGAGTAAAGATATATAAAGGTTGACCAGGATAAAGATCGAAGATTGAATTCTAAATGGTCAAACACATAAGCGCAAATCATGTGCCACATGGTATCTTGTGGTATGGTAAGAATTTGTCATGTGTGTACTGTGTACTAACCTATACCATGTGTTTTCTATGTCTATGTGGGTTAGGTGTTTCTCATGAGCTTGCATTAAGAGAAAGACTCCATGTGCCCATGTGAGGATGATATCAAGTGATGAAGATCCTGGTTGACAAGGGCAAGTTCAAGGTGAGGATCATGGTTGACCCCTCTGACGGATAATATCTCAAGACTTCCTCACCAAGCAGGTCTGACTAAACCACTCTCGAATTTCGCGTTCCACTCAACCAATCCTCAAATAACGAACCAAATCACATTGCCCTGAGTGTGAAACAAATTCACCAAAAGTGGAGTCGGTCCAATCACGTTTGAGCCTCTGATGAACAAATTTAGTGAAGATCATCAAGAAACCACCAATCTAGATAGGCTTTATCTTCGTCTCTCGTGGATGTGGTGTGTTTTTGATGCTCTATCTTGCTCTTATATAGCATACACTTTTTTTTTTGCTTTTTGTCCTCACACAAGGAGACATCCCAACCATCGATCGGTTCAACCAATATCAACAGTCCACAAGCGTTGGACTCGTAGACCAAGATGGCTTCCATCTTACCTCCATGTAGAGGGATTAGCCCAATAAAAAGCCTTCAGTTGGATAGTTGAATGGTCAAACCACTTGAAACCAACTAAATTTTGTGTTAGGGGCTAATGATGTCTGCTTTTACTAGTTTTTTTATAAAGGTGATTTTTATTGATTCATAATGTAGCATCACGGGGATACATGCATAATGAACATCCATCCTGTCTCTGCATGATTAAGATGCACACAGCCAACACTAGAGCACACACAAAAGAGATCCTGTTGGCAAATAGCAAAGTCATACAAGACCAAAGCTATGCCTAGAATGAATGAAAAAAAAACGAAGCGAACAAAACAACGACCATGGGCACCAACTATCTCTTGACAACAGGATCATCCCGATTAGTTTACATGTCAGTGGATGTCCTGGCTAAGTCACCATTTCCACTGGCCCTCGACGTTTAATACTACTTGTGTGCATGTGTTTTTCAGATCAACTTGATGCCACGATGTTAGCTACAGACAGTGCTGAGCCCAGCAACTGTACTGTCACTGCGCGCATGTGTTTTTTATGATCAGCTTCAGGCCCAAAAAAAAAGAAAAATGTTCACTTAGCGCCAAAAAGAAAAGAAAAAAGTTCACTAGCCGACGGTGCTAAACCGAACAGATGTTCTGTCACTCCATGCCGCTGAGGAATCAGGTCACGCCCCCCAAAGAAAGAAAATTCGAGGTGAAAGAATCTGCCGGTTTGAGTTTCGTGCTCCTCTGGCCTCGTCAGAGAGTCTGTCCAATGCGGTGTTCACATCGCCGGGGACACCAAAAATAGACCAATATCATAGTTTTTACATGGGTTCGATTACAAATTTTTCAGTCCGTCAGTTCATGAAAAAACATTTTTTTTTTGCCCTGCAAAATCGGTTGTTCGAGCCTCCTCGTTCGCTCCGTCGTCGGCTCCTCGCCACCCGCCTCCTTCTCGGCTGCCTTCATCTCGGGCGCCAAGCGCTTCAATAACGTAAACACGGACGTCACACACGATCATCGCCGTATTGAATTTAACTCGTACATCCTCGTGGTTAACATCTTGGTATCCTCCGAAGCAGTCCTGAGCTCAACCTTCTTCTTTTCGAGCCAGGTTTCCTTCTCTTCGAGATTGACATTCTTCTCAATCTCGCCATCAAGATGTTAAACCTCTCTGCCTTCTTTTTCTACTTCACATCATAGGTTTGACACTTTTCTCCTCCTTCTTCGCCAAGATGTTCTCGAATCTCTTTGTTATCCTAGCCGCCACCCTTCTTGCTTCAACTTTTCTCCTCCCACTTCTTTCCACAAAACACCCTTCTAACCTTTTTGGGTGGCACTTTTGTTGGGTCGGTTGGTTCACCCACT